TCCCCCGCTGGCAACACAAAAAAACCCCAGACGGTTCTGCCTGAACTGCCCGGGGGCTCGGGGGCTACACCCGCGGGTGCGCTCGGGTGCACACGCAGTCAAGGCAAAAATCCCCAGACGATTCTGCCCGAGTCACCCGGGGGCTCAGGGGCTCCTGTCGGGTTCATAAACTCGGGGTCCCTCGTGGACCGGCTTCCCGTAAAGGCTCGGCCCAAGCAGATAGCACGCGACTCATGGACCAGCCCAAGAGTCTAAACAACAGGCCAGAAGGGCGATCCAGTCATCGAGGAGGAGCAGCGCCCGTTTGTTGACTCCGGCCCACCTCTCCAACCGGAGAGCTCACTTCGTCCTCCAGCCGCCTCCGGACGGTCTCTCCGACCGGAAGGCCTGGCAAAACACTACCTCCGACTCTGACCCCACGTCTCCGACCGGGGGATGCAAAGACCCTACTCGTTGCTCTTCTCCGACTGGCGCAACCCAGAGGCGATTGGGACCAACCGATCGGGGACGCCCACCTGGAAAGGACTAAGGAACAAACGGAGAATAGCAGGGCAAGGCGCACAAGTCAAACCACGATACCAGGGACCGTACCCTATATGCCTGTAGGAATAGTACTCTACAACCGCCCTGACACGAACAGTATTGTAGGCGCGGACTTTTTACCTACAGTATTGTGGGCACCATTGACTCCTATATGGTAAGGCTCCCCCACATGCCTCTGGGCATCGACAATGTTGTGGGCACTAGGATTTACCGTACCGAGTGAACATGGTAAAACTCCTCACATGCCTCTAGGCATCAACAGTATATGTAGGTACCGACATCTGCCATACCCGAACAAGGCGACGTAACCTCCCACGTGCATCTGACATCTAATAGTGTTGTGGGCGCCTACCATCGTCATGTACCCACCGGTGTAGGCAACAAGGCTTAGAAGCAAACATACTCCTTCCCTGTCACTTGTAGGCCATCCCTTCATCTATAAAAGAGGATGCGCTCTCTCCCAAGAAACCCAGTCAATCCAAGTTGATTCAAGTTCATACAAGTCATTCCAAGATTCATCAGATCGATCAAGTTCACTAGCTCACAACCACAGAACCGCTAGGTTCGGACCTCAAGCACACGCTTGAACACTTAGCTCATAGCAGAGCTCCTGTCGCTCTCGGCCCTTCCGACCGGAGCCTACCAAACCTCTTGTACACCCCATCTTTCTCCTTCTCGTTTGTAACCCCACTGCAAACTTCGAGCACCTGGGCTCAGGAATAAAGTCACCGACCGACCTAGACTAGATGTAGGGCATGTTGCCTGAACCAGTATAAACCCTATGTCATTGAGTGCTAGGCCACCTCCGATCACAACGTACGACAAAACTACAAATATTTACTTGTTGGTCACTTTCTGCACCGACAATACGCTTTTAAAAGAAGAAGGCATAATATGTGGAATATGCAATGGACCACGGGTTTGATAATAGAAAAGCGCAGGGGTCCTTTTGAAAGAAACCAGGGACGGCAGCTGCAAATATCCAAAAGCCGAGGGGCTCTTTAATAAAAATACTAGCGAAAGGGTATCTTGTAATCTAGACCATAGATCTCTAGATGGAAGGCTGAGAGAGTTTGGGAGGGGACAGGAGTGGTCGGCGCTGTAGCCGATGGCGGCGCCTTGGCCGAAAAACCGAGCTCCTCGCCGGTGATTTGCGAAAATGACATAGAGCGCCCGATTCTCTACGGGGAAGACACGGGGATGTAGAGAGGACTACCGTGAGCTCACCTAGGAATTTTTCTCAAACGGAGATAGCTCGGTGTAGGCGCTAGGCTGGATGGGGTGGACGGTGGCTCCCTGTGATCCACAGCAGCGATGAGAACAACACAGAGAGAAAGAGAGAAGGGGGGAAAGACGTTGGTAGCTTCTTCACCTATACCCGAAGCTCGGCAGTGACTCGTGGGCGTTGGCATAGCAGCGGACGGCGTCCTCCGTGGTGGTGGGCGGACGTGCTCTACTCGGCGAGATCCGAACGCGGCGGTAGCACGAAGCCAAGGCTAGAGCGGCGGCGCAGATGGATGCGGAGGGGTCACGGAGCTTTATAGGAAGCTTGGCGTGGAGGTCATGCCAAATTGGGAGGAACCAGGCGGAGATGGCCACGGCGGTGATGGAGGAGTCCGCGTCGCACACAATTGGAGGTGGAGATGGTTCTGACCGGTGGGGCACGGCGTCAGCGGGTGAAGTGGTGGGTCCCGGTTGTCAAACTGAGAGAGAGGGAGGCGGGGACGCATCTGCGTGGGCCTCGGCTCCGCTTGGGCTAGGGTGGCGCGCTGGGCCTGCGAGGAGTGGAGAGGGTGAGCAGGCTGGGCTTGCGGGGTGGCAGCGGAAGAGGGAGCGGGCCGGCCTGCTGCTAGATGCCCTGGGGTGGGCCGCGGAGAAGCGGGGAGCAGGAAGGAAAGAAGCTGGGCCTCGGCCAAATAAGAGAAAGGGAGAGTTTTTTAATTCCTTTGCATTTTCTTTTCCTATTCCAAAACCTCATTCAAATATGAACCAAATCAAATTCAAATAGAGTTTCCAACACACTTTTCAACTCAAATAAAAATGAGCAATTTTGGTAAGTTTTCAAAAATAAATTTTACAACTTTTTTAAATGCCTTTATTTTCTAATTTTCTTTTCTTTTACTTTAAAGCCAATTTCAAAAGCATTTTAAATTCATTTTAAATTTTGGATTCAACCACTCATTGCAATAGATCAAATGCACCGGCATGTATGCACATCCATGTTTCTACATCCTATGATGAATTTTAATTTAATGAAAAATTACTATTTCCCTATGCTTTCATGAGCACACAAATTCAAAATTACCTCATTTTACATCTACTTCAAAAGGAGCAAATTTTAGGGTGTTACATTTATTAATAATAAGGTTTATATTATAAGAAAAGTAGAAAACAATGAGTAACTATTAAAGGCAATTAAGTTTTAATAGCACCCAATTTTACAGCCCCAACTTGTGTATTCCCTTCGTCCCTTTTTATCTATAGTTCTCACCTTCAGAGAAGTCAAATATACTAAATTTTAACTAGATATATATAAATTAATATTTATGGTACATAATTAGTATTATTAGATAGATCTTTGAATCTATTTTTATAATAAATTTATTTGGATATACAAATATTATTAATATTTTATATAAATTTAGTTAAATTTAAAAAAGTTTGACCGGCATGCTCCCACGACGACCCTTATACAGGGACAAAGGGAGTATGTTACATCTACCTGGGTTATATGGTTAAAAATATATCGAAAGAACTGTTCTTAATATTATATACTAGCATTTGACATCCTGAGGCAGCAGGCATGCCTGCCTTCAGACTGTCTCCAACGCCGAGACGCAAACCTAAAAATGCGTCCCCAACAGTGCTTTGCCTACCCGAAATCGTCCTCCAACAGCTGACGCAAACATGTGACCCATTTTGCCTACCGGACCGATCGATACGCAAAAAAGCATTGCCTCTCTCCTCGCTACGCAAATCGTTCGTGCTCGCTCGCGTCGGCACCGCTCGCGTCCGAGGTGGCCCGCTCGTCCGCGCTTGCTCGCGTCGGCACCGCTCGCCAACGGCGGCAGCGCCGCCCGCGCGCTTGCCGACCCGCTTCGCCGCCGCTTCGGGCGCGTGTGCTTTCGTCTGGTCAGCGCTCCGCTTTCGCGCCGACGCGCGCGCTCTCGGCGCTGCGGCAGATTTCGCCGTTCGCATGTCCGCGGGCGCGCGCTTGCTTCGTGGCGCGTTCGCGCTTCGGCTGCCGCTTCGCGCTTGCGGCGGGCGCGCGGCTGCGGGCAAGGGGGAGCGGGCGCGGCGGCTGCTGGCGGGCACGGGCTCGCTGGGTGGCAGGCGGGACCGCGGCGGGGAGCCACCGGTGCGGAGAGGAGCGGCCGCGGCGAGGAGCAGACGGCGTAGCGAGGCGGGTCCGCGGAGGAGCGTGGCCGGGGCCGCGCGTGCCGTCGTCCTCAGGCCGCCGTCGGGACCGCGCGGGGACGGAGGAGACGCCGGACTCCACGAGGCCACGGACACCCGTGCGCGCCTCGTCGAAGACCTTGAGGAGCGCGGCGCGGTCGGACTGCGGCGCCGGAGGAGAGGGGGATGCCATGGCTGGCGGATTGCTCGAGAGTCGAGATGCTCGGTCGGACTGCGGCACCGGAGGAGAGGGAGCAGGGGAGGATTTTTTGCGTTTGCTGTTGGAGATGAGAGGTTGTGGTTGCAGTACCCTTTCACTGTGTCACCTAAATCCTGGATGGATCTTTGATTTGGGTCTTTCTCGTTGGAGATAGTCTCACATGAACAACATGACCAGTGTCAGCAGGTCCAAACTTTGAATACTTTGCCTCTATATATTTTTTATAGCACAGCTAAGCTGCCGCACTGTAAAATTTGGCAGTAGCAAAAGTTCAATAGAAAAAACAGGTCATACACGGAAGTCGTACCAGCAGTATAGTAGTAGCTGTCACCGTGTACGTACGTTAGTACTACCTTGATCGATCCAAATGTTATCTCTACTCTCTGTTATCTCTGCTCTCTCTCTCTCTCTATCGATCTCACTCTCTCTCTCTCCTAGCTCGCTCTCTCCTGCTGCTCTGACTCTCTCTCCTCTCGCTGCTTGAGCAATAACGCTGCACCCGCTCTCAATAAATGCGTTTGCATCCATCCGCTCTCCACTCCTCAGCTCGCAATAACTCCTTCCTCCCCATCTCCAAATTCTCCCATCTACCGTTCCCCCTCCAACCATGGCGTCTTCTTCCTCCCCGAGATCTCGCCGTGCTCCTTCTCCCACCTTCTCCTAGCTACCCAGCTGCGTGCGTGCACGGAGCGCTCGTCTCCGCAGCTTCCTTCCTGCATGCTCACAGACATATATATGTATATGTGACATGCATCTCCTTTTTTTGCAGAATGAAAGCTGATGATAGAGAGCAAGAGCTAGGGTTTGGGAGGCACTAGCTAGGACCGTGCTGCCATTGTTCATGACGCCGTCGAGGCGCATGCCGGCGATGATCGGCCGGAATGGCATGGCGTTTGGGTCCTCGTCGGCGCTGTCTTTGAGCCAGGTGACTATTCCAGTGAGAATCTTTTGGAGTGTGCAGGATCAGTCGTCGTCTCTCTCTGAGTAGCTAGCTACTACTACTAGTTTAACTTTTTGTGGGGGAAATAATTAATGTTCCTGCTTGTGCATATCTTTTTCTTGCTGATTAATTTCCGTGAGCTAACTATAGGATGTACATATATGCAAGTATTTATGGGCGCGACGTTGAACGATACTGGCCAGTGGCCACTAATCTGTTATTTAATGTAAACTGACTAGTACCGGCCGGTAGGAGGAAGAAGAGACAACAAGTTGATCTCATCGAGTGTCTTTTTTTTAAAAAAAAAACTCATCGACTGTATATATGACCATTGTGTACGTATATATGCAGTTGGTTATCTCGTTCTTGATCCTATTCCTACACACATATTTTGTTCCTAAAAGTAAGAAGAAAATAAGCGGTCTACTATACTACATGATTTTTATGCTTAATTTTCATACTTTTTAAATTTACTAGCCCTCATAACAGCAAAATTCTTGTCTTCTCATTTTGAATGGAAGCACCTTCCCTTTGTCATGCATACAGCACAACAAAATTAATGAGGAAGTGTTGCTTCAGTCAACTGTTCGTGCATTAATTCAGCATGATTCTGCATTCAAAGTCTTTTTGGAGTAGTACTGCTCCAAAAAGTTTTTTTTTTAAAAAAAACTTGTTGCATCTTTAATGTTCCATTAACTTTGTGTAATCCCCAGATCTCCTCGGTTGCATTATGAATCGTCGTCAGCTTATACATACAAGTATCAAATTCTTCATAGTATCATCTTAAATTGTGACTCCTTCAAACTTTTGGACTGAAATTGCAGGCTGACCTCTTAGACAGCCATCACCTGCAGCAAGCGTTCCAACAGCAACTCTTTGATCAGATCCCAGCCGCCGCAGTGGATAGCAGCGACAACATCATCCATGGTCGCTCAGACACGCTGGTAGCAGATGAATTTGAGAGCAAGTCCTGCAGCGAGAATCCCGATGGCACCTCTGGCGATGATGGCCAGGAAGACCCCAACCAGCGGCCAAACAAGAAGAAGCGGTATCACCGCCACACCCAGCACCAGATCCAAGAGATGGAGGCGTAAGAAGAATGACTTAAACTCTTCTTCCTTCATATAATTAAGCACCATTTAAAAGGCTTTATTTATTGATAGATAATTTTATTCATTAAAAATCATGTCTGATTGTTTGGTTATTGTGAATTATGATTGATCAGGTTCTTCAAGGAGTGCCCGCACCCGGATGACAAGCAGAGAAAGGAGCTCAGCCAGGAGCTCGGCCTCGAGCCGCTGCAGGTCAAGTTTTGGTTCCAGAACAAGCGCACACAGATGAAGGCAAGCTCTACTACAACAGTATTCATACATTGTTCCCGATTCTATGACATTCTGATGCATGGTACACAAAAGTTGAATTTATTTTGGTTAGATTTCAATCCATGTGTACATATTTGCCGATCATGACCTGACAACGTGTTAAGCATCTATATTAATTTATTTTTACACGCAACTGAACAAGAGAGCTAGAATTTTGAATTCCATCAAATGATACCATGGCATGCATAGAAAGAGGAACATGGAATACGTGCAAGTATGCCAGTCTCGCTGATAATACAGACGTGATTATGGGTGTATGCAGAACCAGCACGAGCGGCAGGAGAACGCGCAGCTGCGTGCAGAGAATGACAAGCTGAGAGCTGAGAATATGCGGTACAAGGAGGCGCTCGGCACAGCCTCCTGCCCCAGCTGTGGTGGCCCTGCCGCCCTCGGTGAGATGTCCTTTGACGAGCACCACCTCCGTCTTGAGAATGCTCGCCTCCGTGACGAGATTGACCGGATCTCGGGCATCGCTGCCAAGCACGTCGGCAAGCCCATGGTCTCCTTCCCGGTGCTCTCCAGCCCGCTTGCTGCCGCTGCCGCCCGATCCCCACTTGACCTTGCTGGTGCCTACGGCGTCCAGCCTGCTGGCCTCGGCGCTGACCACCTATTCGGTGTTGGAGCTGGTGCCGGCGATCTGCTGAGAAGCGTGTCAACCGGCCAGCTCGACGCTGACAAGCCCATGATCGTAGAGCTGGCCGTTGCTGCCATGGACGAGCTCCTCCGAATGGCTCGGCTTGATGCGCCGCTGTGGTGTGGGGGCGTGGCAGGGGTGCAGCTGGACGAGGAGGAGTATGGTCGGATGTTCCCGGGTGGGCTCGGGCCGAGGCAGTACGGGCTCCGTCCGGAGGCATCTCGAGACAATGCCGTCGTGATCATGACACGCGACAGCCTTGTTGAGATACTCATGGACGCGGTCAGTGACAAACTGATTGTTGGGTTTTCAGCTGAATGGATTTTCTTTATCTCTGCTTGCTGATCCATGTGATTCATCAATGTTCTGCATCCAGAACCGGTTTGCTGCAGTGTTCTCAAGCATTGTGTCGAGGGCTTCTACACACGAGGTGTTGTCAACTGGTGTGGCAGGGAGCTATAATGGTGCATTACAAGTGGTGTGTATCTTACATTTCTGTTCATGGTGCATTATTGTTTGATCAGAGTCAAAGTGTGAAGACTGATGATGATGACCAACAATATGTAGCTGACAATATTGGTTATCAACTTGCAGATGTCAATGGAGTTCCAGGTGCCGTCACCGCTGGTGCCGACGCGGGAGAGCTACTTTGTGAGGTACTGCAAGAACAATCCTGATGGAACGTGGGCTGTTGTCGATGTGTCACTCGACAGCCTCCGCCCTAGCCCTGTTATGAAGTGCCGGCGCAGACCATCAGGATGCCTTATCCAAGAAATGCCCAATGGCTACTCAAAGGTCAGTTAGCTCCTTAAAATTTGTCTTGCCCAATTAACTGCGTGTATGTATTACAATGAATTGAAAGTGCACATATTCAACATGTGTCTCCCAGCAATTGTGATTCCTGTCAGGAAACTCATGTTAGTATCACCATGGGTTCTTGTGCGTGCAGGTGACCTGGGTGGAGCACGTTGAGGTTGATGACAGATCAGTGCACAATCTCTACAGGCCTTTGGTCAATTCAGGCCTCGCATTTGGTGCAAAAAGGTGGGTTGGCACACTGGACCGACAGTGCGAGCGCCTTGCCAGTGCCATGGCCAGTAACATCCCCAACGGCGACCTCGGTGGTAAGTACACCCATATGAATTCTAATGCCCAATGAAAAAGCAATGATTGAGATTTGATACATGGTATAGGCAAGTGTGTGTGTGTGTGTGTGTGTGTGTGTGTATATATATATAGATCAATGTGCATCCATGAAATTGCAGTGATCACAAGCATAGAGGGGAGGAAAAGCATGCTGAAGCTAGCAGAGAGGATGGTGGCGAGCTTCTGTGGTGGCGTGACAGCATCTGCCGCGCATCAGTGGACAACATTGTCAGGGAGTGGTGCGGAGGACGTCCGCGTTATGACCAGGAAGAGCGTGGACGACCCAGGCAGGCCGCCAGGCATCGTCCTCAATGCCGCCACCTCCTTCTGGCTACCCGTCCCACCCAAGAGGGTCTTTGACTTCCTCCGCGATGAGACCTCACGCAGCGAGGTATGCCATACGCACGCATGTCACATCGCCGACACTTTCTCTGTACGGCATGCAAGTGCCGGGCTAAGTATTTTCCTGGTAAAAACTTGAATTTGCAGTGGGACATCCTATCCAACGGTGGTGCTGTTCAAGAAATGGCTCATATTGCCAACGGCCGGGACCATGGCAACTGTGTCTCCCTTCTTCGTGTCAATGTAAGTGCTCATTCGTGCCTTTTCTTTCAAAAAAAAATAAGTGCTCATATATATATAAGACCAAATTTAATCCACTTTCTTTGAGAGAAGTTCTCATGTCACTGAATAACCTCACAAATTTGGTGTCAGTGTGTGATAGATGCGAGACATCGGTGACATTAATTGACAGACTAGGGTCACATGAAGCGGAGTCGTCTTTTTTTTCCCTGAAATAATCCTGATAATTATTTGTGGTGAACTATTCATGGTCATCATGTTTTCAGTGACAATTGGATCCATTATTATCGTTGTTATCCAGAGTGCAAACTCGAACCAGAGCAACATGCTGATCCTCCAGGAGAGCTGCACCGACACATCGGGCTCGTATGTGGTGTACGCGCCGGTGGACGTGGTGGCAATGAACGTGGTGCTCAACGGCGGGGACCCAGACTACGTGGCCCTGCTGCCATCGGGCTTTGCTATCCTCCCCGACGGACCACCGGGCATGGCTCCCCATGGAGAGGGCGCTGTCTTGGAGGCTGGCGGCGGTTCCCTCTTGACGGTAGCGTTCCAGATCCTGGTGGACTCCGTGCCCACTGCGAAGCTCTCCCTGGGCTCTGTAGCGACTGTGAACAGCCTCATCGCCTGCACCGTGGAGCGCATCAAGGCTGCCGTCTGCGCAGAAGGCAACCCACAGTAGCCTTGCATCCATATATGATCTCGAGGTATATGTTCATGCCACTCGATCAGTCATATATAGCCATCCATATGCAGCATCCTTCCAGTCAAAAATAAACTTTGAACCGGTTTGAATGTTTTGTAGGAGGGGGGCAGCAAGGTTTTGGGGAAATGTTAGTGGGGAGTCAAGAACGCACCTCAGACTCTCCTTGCCATGTGGTGCTCATACTGCAAGCGAAAATTCAGTTCGTTAGGAAAAAGAAGGCGTCACCACTATGCAAGGGGGGATGGTTCGGGTATTGACTTCCCCGTCGATCGAGTCTACTACAGAAAGGATGCGGCGGAGAAGATGCTGTTTCTGGATCTCTTTCCATATTTTTAGGGTTTCCATTTGCTGCTGTGTACTTCGTCATGTTCGTGGTGTTGCTGTTGTTCAGGCTAAGGTGCCTGTGCCTGCTCGTATCTAGAGAACAGAGATTTGTTGCCTCTTTCTTTTTTTTTTTGAATTTGCAAAGATTTGTAGAATCTAGGATCAGTCATTTCATAACCAATGCTTGGCTAAAACGTGCCCGTTGTTGTTTGTAGCTTTTTGCTATTTAAAACGATGCAATTTCAATCTCTGAGTTTCTAGCTTCTTGTTTTCAGAGAATTTTCAAAACGAAAACAGCAGGGGTTTACATCCACTGGAGACCGGGGATACACATATCAACTTCATTTCTTGCATAGTACGTATATATCATCGTTGAGAACTAAGAAGAAAAGCAATTGTACACTTACAAGGAAACAACTAAACGACAGGCTCAAACCGAGCAAAGAGAGAAAGCAACCAAAATAAACTACTGGTTTGAGTAGACATGAGAAACTAAATGCAATCATAGCTCTTACTAAATCTAACTTCCTGTTTGGATCCATAGAATGAAATCTCATTTCAGGGATCAGATTCTAGCAATTGGATTCCACATGCTACTTCACTGTACATTCGTGTCATGAACCGGCGGTTAATAAAAACTTAGGAGGTTTTCACCGCCGATTCAGGACACAAACTAGCAGTGAAAAAAGATTTTCACCGTCGACTCAGGAACTAAAACCGATGATGAGAAGTGCCTAGCCGCACGAACTATCGGGTGACATTGATTGCACCGTTCCACACAAGTGTGCTTCTACGTTGTGGTGGACAGGGGTCCATGTACCTATGTGTCGCCACACGAATAGTGCTTGAGAGGAACGCACGGATCTGAGTCCCACCAGCCTCTCTCTCTCTCTCTCTCTTCCCTCTTGTTACTTTTCACCTTGCTCCCTCCTTCTTATCTCTCCGACTCCTCCATTCCTCTTGCATGGGCATCTTCTTCCTTTAGCTCCCTCCCTCCCTTCTCTCCCCGTCTCTAACCTCGGCGCCAAAAGGATATTGATATCGCACGGAGGAGGGTGAATATGTCTTTCTAAATTTTAATATAAAACAAAACTTCATAGCTGATTAAATAGGGGTCAGAACTTCCAATGCACGTCGGAAGTTAGCGTCATAACTTCCTACATTGTTAGTATGAAATAAAATGAAAGTACGTCTAATGAGTTCTAGCTCAAACCAAACTTGGAGATATGAGATTGAGGATGTCCAATAGTAAGTCCACTAAGCACCTGCACTCACAAACACGCACAACCAAGTAGATCGAGATAAACACAAATATTGCAATTCAAAACATAAATGAGACAAGATTTGTTTCACCAAAGTTCGGGCATCCATGTGAGTCGTACGTCTTCGTTGAGGAAGCCGTGAGTGACCACTCCGGGGTGCACACTCTAGCAAGGTATCTTTCAACTACTCTCCTCGATCCACTAACCTTGATCTCTTCCCTTGCGGAGGAGAGATTGAGCTCTCACAAACTTGTCGTGGCACACCACAATCATGGTTGCTCACGGCGACTCATAGCTGTATAGGAGTCAAGCTCCAAGAGTAATAAATGCCTCACGAATGATTGACGGAATCAACAAGTGCTTGAGGATTTGGATTGCTCTCTTGTGCTCACAAACTCCCAATTTCTCACTCTCTCAACCCAATTCACAGGATCTCCCTTGAATTCTCAAACGTAGCCATTATGTCTATCAAACGTAGGAATTCCAACGAAAACCTCAGAACTTTCAACATTAGAACAATAATAGTTATTATAATGTTTTCTGCATCAGAACTTCTGACGTAGGTAGGAACTTCCGACACTCCAAAAAACAGCACAGGACACTCTAAGAAAAATGTCATAACTTTTAGCTCCGAACTCCGATTTCAATAATCTTGGACTTTTCGGAAAGCTTATTCTGAGGGATATCCACCCTAACAAATAACTAGCCCCAATATCGACAAATGCAAGTATTGTTTCATGTGTTTCTCTCATGTTAGCACTCAGGGTTCGGTTAGTTTGAGCACTTGAGACTTATCAAACTATTCATGTTGCATCCCTCTTAACAGTATTACATACCTATACTCAAGACCAAAAAGGATATGTATATCCACCACTTGAGTCTTCAAGTCTTCACATTTTTCATCTCTTCCTCTTCCATCTTCACAAGAGTTACAATAAGTTTGTCTTAATCATTTGAACAATACCACCATGAGCATGTGACTTGAACCATTTCCATACATATGATTTCACTTAATGGCATCAAGTTACTTCCATCTATTGATTAAACAATGATTTGTTCCTCCTCATTTTATAACTTCCCATGGCTCTACTCGTGCAAGACTCGATGCAAGTACTCTCTCTTCTTCACACTATCTAGGTCCTTAGGTAGCCAAGTCGTTGCTTGCCCTTTACCCATGCTTAGTACCTCAAAGTCGTTCCTTTCTGTCTGCACCTTTCAAGTTATCTCAAGCCACACAATGATTTGAACCAACAACAAGTATACATTTGAAACCATTTCATTTGCATTGTTGTCTTCTACTTGAATATCTTTTCTAATATAAATACTGACACCAATCAAGTTTTAATTTCTTCCTTTTCTTAAAATGGAATGACCTTGGTGAATTTCCTTCCTCCTTGGATATGAACACCATCAATGTGATCGAGTAACCAAGTCATTGCCCTTTAATGGATATGAAGTCTCATATCATCATTCTTGATATAGCAAGCTTTCCATACCAGACCCATCCATATGCAATCACTTATATCTTACGTGTAATTTGCAAAATATGATTGCTTCTTCTTCATTAGAGCAATACCCTGAGTTTGATATGATCATTTCTAATGAAACCTATTTACAAACTCGTCAAACTCATTAGTCCTTTAATTGTTTTATCATTCAACCACCAAAAACCACTAGGGGCCTAGATGCACTTTCAAGCGTGGTGGCGTCCACGGGTGAAGAGGTAGCCTAGCGGCGCTATGGCCTCAGCATGATGGTAACGGGTAGCCTATGAATCTTGGCGCGACGGCATCCACCGGTGTGGCCCTAGTAAAAGGTCCTTGTTTGGTTTTGGTAATTAAGTGACAATCTAAGTGGACTAATATATGTTTATGTGAGATACACAAAAAATTAGTCCACACGAACAAATGTGATGAATGAGCTTATCGCGTATGTGACATGACATGGAGTCATGTGGCTAAATGGAGAAGATCACGACAAGGTTTAGCATCGATGGACCGGTTGCAAGTGTGAAGGGCAAGTCAGAGGCTTTGGAGCGATGCACCGCACATGACGGAGAAGCTTGAGCAAAGACTTGGTGTCGATGGACAAGGGCAATGGTGAAGAGCAAGCAAGGTTGCGATCGATGAACCAATAAGGTCACGTGATGATATGAAGTGGCTCATATCATTTCTTGATGGAGCTTGGTGCTTGTGTGGCATCAACATTAGAGGAGATGAAATAGAATGTGCAAGGCAAAGGTATGACTTGTAGGGCATTTCATTTCGTCGGTCAAAGGTTGTGTTGAGAAGTGTTTGACCAGGTTTAGGATAGATAACAGTAATATAAAAAGAGAAAATCTTTTAGTTATAATGGTTATCTAGTGCCACTAAGTGTGAGTTTCATTTGCATATGCATTACGCTTAGTGACGTGGTGAGGTGCATGAGAAAGCCCTAGAAAAATCTTTGTGAAAAGCTAACTAAGATGCTAAACTTGTTTTAGCCTGTTGGGAAAAGTTAGCTCTTGAAAGAGGGCTTGTAGGGAGCTGCTTCTAGAATTTCTTGTTCAGTCGTCCCAAATTGTCAAGCAGGGGTGCTCTACTGTTTGGCGTAGTTTAACTGGAATTATCTTCAGGCTGAACTAAAATTTCCAGTGCGGGGTCTCTCGACCGTTGGAAGAAAGAGCCATTGGGGCATTTGGCTGCTCCCGCACTAAAATTCCAGGACCCAGACTGAAATTTCCATTGCGGGATGGTTGTCTAAAAGAGCCGTTGGGGAGTTTGGCTGATCCCGCACTGGAATTTCCAGGCTGCGCCGACAAGAAATTTCAGTGCAGGTGCTGCCTGCTGAGGGACCCTGTGTGTGAGGGGATAAGGTTGTGGCTCCCCTCCTTCTTCCTCACCCTCCATTCCCCATTGTTGCAATTGGAAGCTAGGGTTCATCCCCTCTCTCTCCCTCCCATGCTTTGTGCAAAATCGTAGTGGTGATTGAGTGCCATTTGTGGGTGTGGATGAGAGATTGAATATCCACCTCCTCCCCTTCCTCTCCCTCTCAAGCTTGATGCTAATTTGAGTAAAGGATTGAGAGCCTAGTGTGTGCATTTGAGAGTTGCATTTGGTGGCACTAGGAAATCTTTGTGATTGGGGGATTTCTTGTTACTCTTGGTGACTGCCATCACCTAGACGACTTGGAGGTTGTGATCTCTGTCAATGCACGCTTGGTGATTGTGCATGGCTCCGGAGCAAGGATTTGTGAGGGGTATTGTGCTCGCCCCGCGGTAGACACGAAGAGCAACTCTGGTTGAGCGAAGCGTGAAGAGCGTCAAGTGGTTCGGCGGAGTCGAGTGCTAAAGCTTGTGGTGAGCACTCCGCGTGGGAGTGTGACTTGAGGGTTACCACTAACAAGAGGACC